GATTAAGATGTGGATCACTGGATCCTGGATCTGTTGATAAGAAATAGTAAAACCACGGAGAGCCTTCCCTGGATTAAACAGCTGGCAGGTGCAAACGTGCATGGGTGCGCCGACAAAATGTTCATTGAAGTTTATTAAGAAGCTTCCATTCAGTCACTTTTGACGTGACGGGTAAAGATCCTGGTTAAAATAGGTCATGCTTGCAGTAAAAGGCAACCGCGGGATCGGGTGGTCAGGCTCGGTGATTTGGTTGATCTTGTCCCAATTGCCTTGATTGGTGCTCATGCCAATCACAGGGTTGTCTGGTCCAGACTCGATTATTTACTGCCGGAATATTGATGAGAGCGGCGTTAAACAACAACCAAACAAAGATAGACCACGTGTACACACATCTAAAACGGTTCAAAGAGAATTTGTTGTTTTTAAACAGTGTTTTAAAAACATTTTTTTCAACACTGTGATACTGACAGGTCTTAAGTGAGCAGTGCTTTGCAGGATTCGATTGTTTCTTTTGTTGTTAACGCGATATGACGGCGGTCTGTGGATTCCCCGGTCCAGACAATCCCTGGATCCCTAGATAAATTTTCTGTTTGTACACAGGTGGAACAATGGTGTATGAATGAATATGTTACCCGTTGGAGTGATATGTTAAGAAAGGAAGAGGGACGAAATGGGCTTAATAAATTGAGAATGTACCGATGTTACAAACAAGTATATGAGACAGAATACTATGTTTCAAATAAGATGGCCAGAAACTATATAGATCGGCACTAGCCAAGTTTAGATGTGGCGTGGCTCCTATATTCGAGTGGAAACCGGTCGGTACGAAGGTGTACCTGTCCACAATAGAAAATGTTTTCACTGTATATAATGACAGCGTAGAAGACGAGGTCCATGTTTTGTTTCACTGCGTATTATATGACGATGTCAGGGCAACTCTTTTTAATGAATGTATTGCTAAATCTTATAATGTTTTAGATATACCTGATATCGACAAACTTTGATTAATTTTCAGTGACTCCAGTGTGTGTTTTATACTTGCCAAAGTCTGCTTTCTAATTCTTAATCGTAGAAAACATATTTTATATGGATAGCCTTTTACTATATCATCTTTGTATCATTTATGTATAAATTTTATGATAATTTGTCTCTCATAATTCTATTGAATGGTTCTGTACATTCTATCTATGTCAAGTTGTACAAAGCTGTTTTATGTATGTACAGAAGTGAGACGTTAATAAACTATTGTTTGTCTGTCTGTGACAGCGGCCTTTGGCTTATCGAATCTGGTCCGGACAATCCCGGGACTCGTGAGCAGCGACACGTACACGCCGTGGGGGTACGATACTACGACGACACGCAATCAACAATGTAATCCATAATGTCGCATATTGCGATATGCATAGACCTAGCTATTCAAACCCGGATTCCTTACGGGAAGCGATAATAGAAGATCGCTTTCTTAGAAAGTCCTGTTCCTGAACCTTCAGATATTCCCAACTGAGTATAAGGGCGTATCCGCTCTTGACACTACTGGGTTAAATAACTTCACAAAAGTTTGAAAGTGAAATAGGAAGAAGGGTTTTAGCAGAACAAGAAACTGGTCGAATGAAAATGGAAATTTACATTTACACAAAAGCTAAAAGCTTACGAATGGTTTAAATGAGCCTATATAAACGACGTCTCATTCGCCAACCAAAACGGATATCCGTTTAGAAAACCGACACAGAAATTCCAGAGAGGTAAAGTTGTAAAATTAAGAACTGCACATCAGGGCCCACTTGCACAAAGCGATCTTAGCGCTAAGATGAACGTAACTCCCATACTTTAACATAGGCTTACAATAGTCGTAGTGCTAATATCGCTTTGTGCAAGTGGGCCCTGAAGACCTATCCTACCCCGGATCCTCACGGGTCGTATGTGTATGTACAAGTATCATGTGGTTATATGTGCATTTTATGTCCGTTTATGCCCTTCTCCCAAACATGTGTTAAAATGTGTGTATGTCTTTCATGTAAATATATTTCTCTTTGCTACTTTGAAATCTGAAAACAAAACAAAACGAAAACAATGCACAACTACGTACTCCTAAAGCTAAAGCCCCTTGTTGTCTGCGCAGGTCTAGCATGGATCACTGTGACGATCCCGGGTCTGAATGGTCCCCATTGACTTAAACATAGCCAGACTGGGGATTGGATGGTCAGGCCCGGTGACTTGGCTGATTGTGTGTCACCGGTTTGCCAAGCCCAGGGCCCCGTTCCACAAAGCGATCTTAGCGCTACGATTGTCGTAAGTCAGTGTTAAAGAATGGGAGTTACGATCAACTTAGATCTAAGATCACTTATTGGAACGGGGCTGATTCGATTATTTACAGGCCGAAGATATATATCTGGAATATTGCTTACTACGACATAAATATCATTTACTCACACTCGATTCTGCAAATCATTAAAAATTGAACTGAAATATGAATGTTAATGTGTTGAAAAGATTTCCTGTCCGAAAGAAAATCCAAGAAGACGTCCAAGTGCATGTTAAACGCTAATACTGTGATATTTTACTGACGCTTTTCGGACATTGAAGGACAGCTTTTTAAAGGGAAACACTGCTCCTGCTTTGAAAGTATTGAAATTTGTCTTGGCTTTTTCTACGTGGAAGAAAAAAATGTTTATTATGGACTATAATCACGACTTGTTTTAACTGTGTTCAGCGCTATTGTCGACACCTTTAATCGGAGGATTGAAGAATGAGAAGCCGTCTTTGTCTTTTGCAACTCAACTGACCATTCTCTTGCTGCGCCTCCACGTGCACATTACATAACATATAATACATTTACCACATCAGACTTGGAGTTATAACCCAAACTTAGATTAAATCAGTCTTAAATAAAGTCATTACCTGAGCATCAAGAAAGCACGACCCGTAAAGATCCGGGATAGAATACGTCTTCAGAAACCCATGCTTGCCGTAAAAGGCGACTTTGCTTGTCGTACGGGGCGGCTAACGGGATCAGGTGGTCAGGCTCACTGACCTGGTTGATGCATGTCATCGATCCCAATTGCGTGGATCGATGCTCATGATATTATTCACTGGATTGTCTGGTCCAGACTCGATTATTTACAGACCACCGTCATACAGCTGGAATATTGCTGAGTGCGGCGTTAAACAACACACCAACCAACCAACCAAGAAAAACACAGAAAAAAACGAAATACACAGGTGTATATATATATTATACCATGAAGCATGGTTGACAAGAAGGGAGTAGTAATTGCTGTACTGTATGCAATTTGCTTGGAAAATAAGGGTCGTCGATTTTTTTAGTATAAGAATTGAATTTCATTTTTGCAGTCCACGTTCGTCCTGTATACTAATCTCATAATTGCACATACACATTTACACACGCAGACGAATTTGCATGAATGTTGTAAGCATCATCCCATCATTTCGAGGATCCAAGGGGATTCCCCCTCGCTGGTCCGAAGCCCAGTTTGTTGGAGGGCTGACGCTTATTAAGCATCCGGTGATTACGCGGGCTAATTAAAACGACGCCGGCTAGACGACTAAGAGTTGGAGAGTTGTTTCCCTTTAAAGTGACTGTTGCTCCATGACAAACGTGGAATAAAATTAATATTATGATTATTATCAATTTATTTTATTAATAATCTCTAATATGGTGTTTAGCCCCATCACTATACATCACAGATCTACACTCTTCTTTCGTGTGAGTCACTGTGCCACTTGTCATGTAGACTAGTTTATAAGAACGCACGAAACAACATCCACCAAGTCTATATAAGTTCATATAAACTAAAGAACAAAAGAAAGTATACCGAGGTGTTTTTTTAAAATATTTTAAAAAATAAAAAGAACTTGTTAAATTTGATTGTGTCTCTTTAACCATCACTCATTCCTGCAACAGTCTGAACAGGTAATCTTTGGTTGTGTAATTTTGTGTAAAACTAAACTGGTTCAATGAATTCGCAGCCACACAACCCGTACCGTGTTTGAAATGTTGAAATGTTGAACTTATTGATTTTCAAAGATATCATGTCTAAGATACCTATCAGCAGTTGTGTACTAAGAGTATGTTTTATGTTAAAAAAGTTTTGAATCAAGTTATATTTAAAAAAAATATAACCATATAGAGACGTATTCTTTGAGTGCTGTCTTAGCGCCAGTATAGTTCATTTCTTGGATATACTATCGCTGACTCAAGATATTTTCAATTGAAAATCAAACATACGATCGATAAGAGACTGAGAGGTATTAGGTTTGTTTTGTTCCCCCGTTCAGACTCCCTGTAACATAGTCATTGCATAGATTATATATGTACTGCATGCTCTCATTTTGTGGCTTATCAAGTGAGAAAGAATGGGTGCTACTGATATTGTAACAAAAATAATAAACAACTGATTTTAATCAATTGAATAGATTTTGTTTTAAACGGTGAACTACTTATAATTTGTATTGTTTGACCATATTTATTAAAGCAAAATCGTTCTGGTTGTCATGATGATATGCTGTCCGTGTCAAATAAACTATGATACTGAAGTCTAAAATTAAAAAAAAAGAACGCTCTTTTTTAAGAGAAGTAAAACATTGCATTGATTTGAAAACAGCTATAAATGATTGTCGATAAAAATAATTACCATTAAAATAATTTGTATCGACACGATACATCTAATCCCACCTCAATGATACGAACGGGTTCTTTACCGTTATATCTGTTTACAATCATTTGCAATCAGCTGGTCAATGAAAACTATGAATGACGTAAAGGGAAGGACCACGTGACTTATATGGCGCGAAAGTGCGTATGAATTCATGAAAACGTAAATAAATTCTTTTTCATAATTGATTATTTTCACATATAGTGCGTGTATTTTGCCATTATGTCTAAATATATGTAACTATAAAAGTGAATATTCCAGTGTTTAGGAAGAAAAATACGTATTCTAACGGACTATTTTGTGACCACACGGCCTTGACATCTCACCTTCAATTCCCGCGCTTTACGATCACTTTGTCTACAACAACACGAGTGCTCAACTGTTCTGATAAGAAGTGCTCTCCCCTCAGTAAAATCATGGCAGTAAGTACATTTGTCTTTGTAAATTCATGAAATTGTGCTTAACAAGATGCTTAATTAATAGAACGTCAGTGTCCTGCTAAAATCGCGATTATTTCAGCCTGAAACTTTCCGAGCGGTCCCAAGTTACTGTTTCCTCTTTAGCACTCTTTACTGATGTTATTAACTTATATGTTCTATTTCAAATATTTTCCACCCGAAGTGATTGAAATATAATTTGGCACCAACTAAGAATACTTGAATTTGTAGCTGTATTTCCATAGAACTGTCGATCGATCTAAACGCATTTAATGATACGTAACGCATGTAGATCTATCCCACGAGGTCTTCTTGTGGTCGGTCAGACAGGGTGTAGTGTTTAATAGAACTTGACAACTAGTTGTACAAGTCCCTCACAAAATGACTTGTTGATCTACCAATTTGTACATATTGCTAAATTTGCTGATCGAAAGATAATTGGGAATAAATGAATGGAGATACTCAAGGGAGATTTGTTTTCAAATACAATTTAACTTCAGGGAAAACTCCTTTCAAATCGTTCATAGATGTCGAAGAATTCACGTATGAATATATTATAAACTGTAGATGTAACTAAATGAAGTAATTATTTCACATCACATTGTTATTGCAGGATGATGACAAATATGTTGACATTTTTCTTACTTGTTTCATTATACTGTGAAATAATGTATTCGTGATCATTTTTTGGGTTCGCTTTTGAAAACAACAACATAACTGATGTGCTGTTTTGTGATTAAGTAGCTTTCTTCTGACTGACCGACTGTTCCAAAAACAGTTGTTTCCTTGTCTTTTGAAAATGCTGCCACATTTGAAAATTAACTTGCTGTGTTTGTAATGGTAATGACTGGACCCAAAAAGCTCAGCAATTTTAACAACTACTTGAACTAGAATGAACATTATAATTTTTAATTTCATTATTTTAGTGAGTAATTATCCATAGCGAAAACTGTTTACAATTTACTTTTATTGTATTTCAAAAAAGGGAAGTTCATGTTGAGTAAAAAGTGGGTACCAATACTGTTTCCGTTTGGTGATCAATATATTTTTCATTTCCACAGGAGGAAACATCTTCAGATCCCTTTTCCACTGCAACCAGCCCCTCCCGGCCATCACGAGGTCGACGAAGCAGTCGTGGTGATCCCATCACCTCCAGTCCAGGGCGTGATCTGGCACCGTTCGAGGATGAGTCTGAACTTGGTAATCCCGAGGAGGAGGAAGATGGGGAGGAGTTGTTCGGAGACAACCTTGAGAGGTGAGCAAGTTTACATTCACTTCTTTACCCAGTGACCTGTTGTGGACTTTAAACTTTGTACCTGTGGTTGGAAAATATTATTTAAAAAAATAGTTCATTTTCTTTGAATAATTTAAGATGTTTTTTTGCATTGCATTCAATGCAATAATATAAATATGTGTTAAGGACTCTTTCTCTGTATGTCCCTGTTACCAGGCAGTGAAATAAGTGTTTTGTACTTTAGTATTACCCCCGAAAGTTAAGACCTGTGAAGATCCCGGGTAGAATAGGTCTTCAGCAACCCATACATGAGGTAATAGGCGTCTATGCTTGTCGTAAAAGGCGACTAACGGGATTGGGTGGTCAGGCTCGCTGACTTGGTTGATGCATGTCATCGTATCCCAATTGCGTGGATCGAAGCTTGTGATGTCAATTACTGGATTGTCTGGTCCAGACTCGATTATTTACAGACCGTCGTCATATAGGTGGAATATTTCTGAGTGCGGCGTTACACAACAATAAAACCAAAAGTTAAACATGTTGACAGGACAGATGTTAATGTAGATAATGGTTCAAAAATGCCCACTTTAACTTTTTCAACAGTTCCTTTATTGAGGCTGTGATTTTCTTACAGGGACTACCAGACAATCCCTGCCCTTGACCGGTATGACCAGGACAACATGGACAACGAGGACTACTCGGACATATCTGAGTCTCAGCGCCAAGCTGCCGAGAGGGAGATCCGACAGCGAGAGAGGGAAGAGGGCATCACAGCTGGACGTATGCGGAGAGGTCTTATATATGGTGAGATAAAATAAGTATTCTCCATTTAACTGTTTGTTATTCTTAAGAATTGAATTGTTTTGCAGAGAATTTGCTGACAGAAGATTTAGATCCATGTTCCCATGATACTAATAGAAATTGGTTAACTTCCCCCATCTAGTGGAAGGTCGGTGGTTCTGTCCCCTCTGCGTCATGCCAAGTTATGTTAAAAGATGGTACTTCTTGTTTCCCTGGTCGGCTCGGAGTCGGTACACTGTCTTGCATCGAGGTGGGATAGCACTATGAAATCGTCCTCAGTCCGGACTAGTACAAGCTGCCACATGCACACATCAGTGCATGCACGTCGCTATGTTAGTGCAATAATTTTGCATACATTTAACACCATTTCACCTGACCTCACCTTTGAGAATAATGACGTGTGAACGTTTATTGGTTTAGTTTATTATGTCCAGGCTTCAAATCAACTTGTGTCAGAGACACTGAAGCATAGTCACCTGATCCTTTCCTGTCAACCTTTTTAGTTGATTTTACTTCTTGTGTATTGGCGGCTAAACTGAGAGATGTACAGAATTGTGGTTAATCCTAATAAGGGGCACAATAGCTAAGGAAAGTGGAAACTATCGTTTCAATGTGCTTGAAATTTCACTCAAAGATCTGTATGTACTCTGTAGACAGTGTCAAGACACAGAATGTCACAAACAGGTGTCATGCGTTTGTGAATAAAAAAAAGTATATGATCTTGATGAAGTTGTACACATAACTTGATTCATCAGTTATGAAGAATTTGGTTTTCTTTTACAGAGGATTCTGATGATGATGAAGACCGCCCTGCTCGTAAACGTCGGATGGCTGAAAGGGCAGCAGAGGGTGATGTTGATGAAGAAGAGGTATGTCGTGCGGAGATAATAAAGGCGTAAATGTTTAAGTTGTGTGAAAAGGATCTGTATCTATAGATACGTTCTGATTTATATGTGCTTTATAATAGAAATGTGCGGGTGGTCAGACTCGCTGACTTGGTTAATGAATGTCATTGATCCCAGTTGCATGGATCGATGCTCATGATATAAATTACTGGATTGTCTTGTCCAGGCTCGATTTTTACAGACCGCTGACATATCTGGAATATTGATGAGCATGATGAGTGTGGCGTTTAACAAATATTGCTCATGTCTCAGACAATGGGTTTCCTGATCCAGATAGGATTAGTTACAGCACTCGGATAAAGCTGGAATAGTCTCGGAATACTTCTGTGTTGAACAATGTCTTTTGTCCCTCCCTACCCATCCTTCATGACGTGTTTCTTGTCCCAGATGATTGAGAGTATTGAGAACCTGGAGGACATGAAGGGTCACACAGTCCGCGAGTGGGTCACCATGTTGGCACCCAAGACGGAAATCAAAAACAGGTTTAAGAACTTCCTGCGAACGTATGTCGATCAAAAGGGCCACAACGTCTACAGGGAAAAGATCAGACAGATGGTTGAAGGTATGGAATAAAGGAAAACATTTACGCATAAAGAAACCATGAATGATGATCATATCCACAACAATGCATCTTGATAACAATAAATGTTCGTTATCTCCCAATCCCATTAAAATCAGATCTTAGTTCTCGCTAGTGCTAAACAAAGATCTGAGGACATCCCATTAGGGGCACGTCAGAACGACCTTTCATCGAACCAATCAGCGTCGCTTACCAGATCATGAAAGTGAGAGTCGGAATGTGATTTCTAATCATGCAACCTTTAACACGGGGGATTCCAAACGACAGTTACGGGTTTAACGACTGAATCCATACAATCTAGACCATATATTTGCCATTCCAGAATGTTCTTTTGTTCAGGTTTCAAATTTATTATCGAGAATTTGTCAAAATATGTTTCTAAACGTAGTCGCCAATTTGAAATTAGTGCCTATTTGAAAGCTGCCTTCTGATTGGCTAATGTCGACTTTTTGTCAGTCCTTCCATTGGTCGGTCCAAATTTGCGCAAGGTCGGTCTGATGTGACCCGTAATGGGATGTCCTCAGATCTTTGTTTAGAGATAACGAGAACTAAGATCTGATTTTAATGAGATTGGTTATCTCCCTTAGTGTACCCTCCAATGGTAGAACTAACAATTCTTTTATTCTTGCAGCCAACAAGGAAAGCCTGATTATCGACTACAACATGTTGGCGTCTGTGGAACAGGTGTTGGCCTATTTCCTGCCCGAGGCGCCTGCGGAGATGCTGCAGAACTTTGACGAAGCGGGGAAGGAGGTGGTGTTGAGCATGTACCCCAATTACGAGAGAATAGCCAAGGAAATCCGTGTCCGGATAGCTGAGCTTCCCCTGATTGAAGATCTCCGATCTCTCAGGTAGGTTGATGATCGGGCAGGTATCCCATTCAAAGATATTATCATGAGCTTCGTTTTAGAACTATGGTTTCATGTCTGATGAAGCAGAAATGTTAAAACTTTGTATGTGTCCAGGTTGTAAGAATTAATTAAGCCACAGTTTGGGTCCCAAAACAGAACACTTCTCACCCCCTGTGACACAAATACTGATACTGTTATATTATTTTTTTCATTTATTGAATCAAACAGTCAAGCATTGATTCAGCTGGGTGACTGGTGTAAGGGAGACAACTCTTCATATAGAATGTATATGTACTATTATGAGGAATGAGTGTTTTGGGATGTGGGATTGATGTATAAATGAATTTCCAACAATATACACTTATATTATTGGAATTCTAGTAGACAGCAGGTTGTAATAAAATGTACAGACTTACGGGGTTTACTCTAGGAATTTTCTTACATGGGCACTTATGTTGAAATGCCCCATTGTATTTGAAGGCCCCACCCCAGACTTATCCCTGAAACATGTCATCCTTATAGTTGTTATTAAAGTGCAAGTATGCTCCAAGTGAACAAGGATTCCAAGATATGTGGATGTTGAGATATCAATATTAAGGAGACCCGTGAAGATTCAGGGGTAGAATAGGTCTTCAGCAACCCATGCTTGCTGTAAAAGGTGACTATGCTTGTCGTAAAAGGTGACTAGCGGGATTGGGTCGTCAGACTCGCTGACTTGGTTGATGCATGTCGTCGATCCCAATTGCGTGGATCAATGCTCATGATTTCAATCACTGGATTGTCTGGTCCAGACTCGATTATTTACAGACCGCCGCCATATAGCTGGAATATTGCTGAGAGCGGCGTTAAACAACAGACCAACCAACCAACAAACCAATATTAAGGACGGGATTGTTTGTAGACAACTTCACCTGAATCAGTTGATCCGCACCAGCGGCGTGGTGACCAGCACCACCGGCATCCTCCCTCAGCTGAGTGTCATCAAGTACGACTGTAACAAGTGTAACTTCATCCTCGGCCCTTTCTACCAGACACAGAACCAGGAGGTCAAACCAGGGTCGTGCCCAGAGTGTCAGTCCACGGGACCCTTCGAAATCAACATGGAACAGGTGAGGAGGAATGATCATGTTGACACATTCAAGAGTCAATAAGTAAAATAAATATTAGCCAAACAGAACCTTGGCCACATTTTGGTCATGCATGATGTGACAATTTACATAACTGTTTTTTGAGGGTACAGGTTCCTCCTTTTGTGGATGTGAACATTTTTTTGTAGAACATAAAACTTGGAAACTGCTGCATAGATTCTTTTTAAACCTATACTAAGGTGCAGTGCAAAGTTTATTTCAATATTTGGATTTTCTGAAAAAATACAGCTTTTATGTGTTTTTTTAATAGTTATTTCATGCTTTACTGAGAATCGTTTTACTTTTACATTTGTGTGACCTATAACTTAAAAACTACTTCTTGGATATTTTTCAAATTTAAGGAACACTTTCTATACTGATTGGAGAGGTTCAGTGCAAAGTTTAAATTTGATATGTGTTTTCTGAAAAAATATGATGTTTCCCATGTTGTGAACTTAGAATCTTTTTTACTTCAACATTTGTACAACCTATAACTCTAAAAATACTACATAGACTCTTTTCCAATTTCTATACCAATTGGAGAGGTGTGATGCAAAGTTTGATTTCGATACGTGGATTTTCTGAGAAAATATTGAACGCTGTGGTATAACTGGAATACCGTTCAAAGCGGCATTTAACCCAACTCACTGACACTCCATGGCTGGGAGTGGATTACAGACGCATGATATTGCTTGATTTTTGCTAATGGATGTTAAGCTACATTCGCTCACTTCGTTTAACCTCCTTAGTGATGACCCTTTGTGTAACTATGTCCATCACAGACCCTGTACAAGAACTACCAGAGGATCACACTGCAGGAGAGTCCGGGCAAAGTGCCAGCAGGGCGTCTGCCGCGATCGAAGGATGCCATCTTGCTGGATGACAATGTCGACACATGCAAGCCTGGAGATGAAATTGTAAGTTTCTCTTTGTTCAATAAACCTCTGTGGCATACTGACCTACTGCTACCATAAGGTGATATTATGCAGAATTGGTTTGTCAGTTTTCTTTTTAAGCCTAGTCCAGAGGACTACTGTAAACATATTTACACTAGTTCTCAGTTTGTGGCTAGTCCTATTTGAACTAAACGTTTTCTATGTTTATATTTTCTCTGTTTTGACCCAGTACCAATTTGTAGCAAAATTGGAGCATTGAGAAATAGTGAAGAATTATTGCCCAAGAGCTCCAGATAAGCTGCGTATCTGTGTAAAATATGCATCAGAAATGCAGAAATACACAGTAAAATAAAATCCAAGCGTATCAAATACGCAACGAACATTACAGATACGCTACAAAAAAACAATTTGTGCGTATCATCAAAATATTGTGAAGTAACCCAGCGTATTCGATTAGAAAATCAGCAACTTATTTTGAAATTATAAACGGGCATTTCGTCAATCTTGCCAAACTCCACGATGACAGTTACATCATGATCATTTGCCATCACACTCTCTTGTGGAAGTATCGTGGTATTTTTGAGTCCTATAAAGTTCTCGAACCAACACGACACAGGACTAGATGAAAAGTGTTTTTAAATATTTAACTTAAATACCCACATGTGTAAAAACTAGTGGGTAACAGAAATTTGAATACACAGATACCCAATGATATTAAAATGCATGGGTAAAATACCCACATCACCAAAAGCTTATCTGGAGCTCTGTGCCCTGAAATGCAACAAGTCAGTGAAGACTACCATCATTTGATTTTTTACCTGTCATCGGCACAATTTTGTAGTCTTGGGCTGGCATGAATTTAGAAGGCTGTCAACTAATGGATTATGTACCATGGCTGTTGGTGAGGTGCTCACTCATGCAGGACAACAAACTGTCCTTAGTCAAATTTATACAGGCCTTGAAGCATACGTACGAAATGCAAATGAAAAAATGGTGTTTAAGTGTGACACATATTTGGCCAGTCTGCATGTTTGCATGACCTGGTATTTCGTGGAGGCAGTTCTGAAAAGACCTCGACTTTTGTGACTGAAATTGTGCATGAACCCTGTCTGAATTGATTGTTTCTTCTCTCAGGAAATTACGGGTATATATCGCAAATGGAAAAATGGCGGTTAAGTGTGACACAAATTTGGCCAGTCTGCATGTTTGAATGACCTGGTATTTCGGGGAGGCAGTTCTGAAAAGACCTCAACTTTTGTGACTGAAATTGTGCATGAACCCTGTCTGAATGGATTGTTTCTTCTCTCAGGAACTTACGGGTATATATCACAACAACTATGACGGGTCCCTGAACACATCAAACGGGTTCCCGGTGTTCGCTACTGTCATACAAGCAAACTACATCACAAAGAAGGATGACAAGATGGCTGCAGCCTGCTTGACAGATGAGGACATTAAAGCTATTGTTGCACTGTCCAAGGATGAGCGAATTGGAGAAAGGGTAAGGTCAACCCACACAAGTAGCCAGTTTGATTTGAGGAATTTACATCTGACAATCAGCAGGGGAAGATCTTAGAGATTATTTGATCAAGATATTAAAAACTAAATCAGATCTATTGTATCACATGAGCTGTGTTCAAGCCATTTCAGACCTGTGCTGATAGCAGGTTAGAATAAGTACCCAGCAACCTATAGATCGGGGAGTCATACTTGCTAGCTTGGTTAATTGTTTGTCAACCATCGTATTCGAAGGTTCGCTTGCCACGCAGAAGACCTGGGTTCGATTCCCGACATGGGTACAATGTGTGAAGCCCAATCTTGGTGTACCCTGCTGCGATATTGCTGGAATATTGGTAAAAGTGGCGTAAAACCTCACTCACTCGTATCCGAAGGTACAGATGGTTGTTCATATAATAGATGACTGTCCTTTCTGGTACAAACTTTGTTATTTTCTGGGCGCCATCATATATCAGTGTGGCATTAAACTCGATATCAATTGTAAGTCGTGTACATGTGTCAAATTTCAGATTTTTGCCAGTATGGCGCCTTCCATCTATGGCCATGAGGAAATCAAGAGGGCCATCGCTTTGGCAATATTTGGTGGACAGCCTAAGAACCCAGGTGGCAAGCACAAGGTGCGAGGAGACATCAACGTGTTGGCTTGTGGAGACCCCGGCACGGCCAAGTCCCAGTTCCTCAAGTACGTGGAGAAAATGGCAGCTCGAGTAGTGTTTGCTACTGGTCAGGGTGCTTCTGCTGTGGGTTTGACTGCATACGTCCAGAGGAATCCTGTGTCCAAGGAGTGGACGCTAGAGGCAGGTGCTCTTGTGTTGGCTGACAAAGGAATCTGTCTGATTGATGAGTTCGATAAGGTGAGTTCTGTGAAACCTTGCTGTGATACTAGTCATATACAGTCAAATCCTGTTGTGTCGAACTCGTGGGGACGTGGGAAAATTTTGAGTTATCCGGGGTTCGAGACATCAGGGGAATTTGATGCTTAATTTGGACACTTGGGTGTCTCAAATGAGTTTGAGACAATTGGGAATTTTGACAATCCAAGTTTGACACAAGGTTCCACTGCACAGACATTGAAACTGTTAGTTTGGACCCCATATCCTGAAACTTGGCATTGTGTTTAGAGGGACATTACTACATCTTTTGACTTGTTAATCTGCATGATTTCTGTTGTATCTGTCCTAGAAAGACTGATCACATTTTGTGGATCCGACTGATTTAGCAGTTCAAATAGTTGAATTACATCAGTGTTTCTAGACTGCCGCTGTAGTCTAGTGATAGAGCGGTAGCTTGGAGAGTGGAAGGTCAGGCTTTCGATAATCGGCAGCGTCATATCAAGAGATGGTACTCGTTGCGCAAGGCAGTAAGGGGCTAAAACAAGGATTGGTCAGCTAAGAGTCAGTATGCTGTGTCTGAGTGGGGTATTCATGTTAAACTGCGGCAGGGGATCTCAGTGGTCCATCACGATAAAATGGGACTAGATTAAATTAGTCTGAACTTATACAAGCAACCACGCACGCAACCATTTCACTATGTAAATGCAGTCATCTTGGGCATGACATTAACCCTGTTTCACCTTTTCTACTTGTTCATTCTAGGCATAAGGTGTCATACCTCATATTTATTTGAGAGCTCGCATCATGGAACTACCAGTTATCTAGTTTTAAGTGATAAATCTAAAACATCTAGATCCATGTATCACCTTATGTAATGAAAGCTGTGTGGAGTGGTTAAAGGGGAGATAACTCCGTCTGGTTTATCTCCCTTTACCTGCACTGAGATCTGCTTGTGTGAAGTGACCCCATGGACTGGATGTTTCAGATGAATGATGCTGATCGTACCAGTATTCACGAAGCTATGGAGCAGCAGAGTATATCAATATCCAAGGCAGGCATTGTGACGTCGCTTCAGGCACGGTGCACCATCATCGCAGCTGCTAACCCCATCGGAGGAAGATACGACCCCTCGCTCACATTCTCAGAAAATGTGAGTTGGGAATTCTTTTTCGAAATTCTTTTACTATGAGAAAGGGCAAAAGTAGAACTTTGGTTTTATTTATGTTTTATCACCAGTGACAATATTTAAATAGGAAACAAGCCAACTAGCTTTGTACTTTCACACTACAAAATTTCCATTGGTTCAGATTTTCAAAATAAGATTATTTTAATTTGCCTCGAAGGAAAACTGGAAGTTAAGGAACGTCATGTTGAGCTCAAATACATATTTTTATATATAGGCAAACGTTATTATGATCATAACATGTTTTATATAAATAAAGATTGCAGAGTTTGATTTTAAATATGATTTAATTGAGGACCAGCTTCAGACCATTTAACATCGGTACACATTAAATCTTCATAGACAATAACACTATGGATTTATTGATTGCTATAATTGCAATTTATTAAATAGGAACATGGCTCTGAAAGCCTTTAGTAACTGTCAAGATGCTTTTGTTTCTTGGTAAAAATTATGATGATGTTGCCTTGATTTTGACAGGTTGATTTAACGGAGCCCATATTGTCCAGATTTGATATCCTGTGCGTTGTACGAGACACGGTGGATCCAGTGCAGGTAGGACAAGTTGCCTGGAAACCATGTAAACCAGGATTGTTGATTATCACATACAGTTCATCTGTACCAGATGGGTGTATTTTAACAACTTTTTAGAAATGAAAAAGCTTATTGGATAATGTATTTGACATTGATAGTAGGGCTGTAATCATGGTAATTAAACACTTTGCAGACATAACTACATGTGATCTTTAACATGTGTTCTTTAACAATGGGAACGAGTTGAAACCTGATCATTAAACATGTAAAGGATGTAAGTAATTTTGTGTGCTTAACTGTCAGAAATATATTAGTGTATAAACTTTCATTTTACAAGATTTTGTTTTTGGCCTTTTATGTTGCCTGACATGCAATATCTTTCTTTCAGGATGAACGTCTTGCAAAGTTTGTGACGAGCAGTCATATGAAGCACCACCCTAACTCTACAGAACAGACCGAGGACTTGCTGGTAAGGTGATACCTGAGTTTTAATAGTTTTGAGTTGATATGCCACAGGCAAGGATCGTATTTCATGACCTTTAATTAGAGTTAAAAGGAGTTTTCTTGCTACGATATGATACATGAAACATATTTTCCTTTTATCGATACAAGATGATACACTTCTTAAAATAAATTACTAGTTACTTGTTTTATGACCCCCGTTTTTGTCAGTCGAATATCGCAAAATGTGTTTTAAGCGTTTCAAGTTCACAACTCAAAATAGCCACTAGGAATATGTGTCTACAGCTAGCTTTTCCTTTTGAACCTGATAGTAAAGAAGTTTCCATGTGATTTGACTTAGATATGCGTATCGCGATATGTATCGTATCATGACTTTGCTGTATCTTTTCACCCTTGCCATTGTTATCGACCATTGGTTGATCTGGTGTGGGATGATGGTTTAGTTCTATGGCATAGCGAATTTCCATACCCTGATTGGGATTCCGTTTAAGAATAGGTGCCCAGCAACCTGTGCTGGTCGCAAGAGGTGACCAAATGGACCGGGCTGTCAGACTCGGAATGATTGCATGTCATCGTACCCTGAAGGCACTGGGTTGTCTCCTCTTGTCCATTATTTATCGACTGTCGTCATGTCTTGAATGTTGCCAATTCCGACGTATATAACAAACCCATTCCCACTAATGGACTACTGGTTCCTGATTGATAATGGACAGGGCTTGTGTTGTCTTAGTTTGTTAATGTCAACATTTGTGACGTTATTGCCAACTTATTTATTTATTAAAATCGACATAATATGTTATGGGTGTTTTTGGAGGTGTTAACATAACAACCGAAGTGCACACCTGTTTTATATCTATACCACCATAAACGGCCCAAAAAATATTCTTAATTGACTGGTTTGGTTTGACATAGAAAAATCCAATATGGCCAGAGTGTATGGAGGATTTGTTGGGGAATTGGAATATCATTTGTTTTTTTGTTTGAAGCAATCTTTATAACATTCATGGCCATAAGCCACAAAGAGCTGTTGGTCTGTCAAAGCTGATCTAAGAATGACTTGGTGTTTGCAGGAGAACTTAAACAACACTGGCATTGAGCCAATTCCCCAGGAGTTGTTGAAGAAGTACGTGATCTACGCCAAGGAGAAGGTGCACCCCAAACTACACAACATGGACCAGGACAAAGTGGCCAGGATGTACGCAGACCTCCGGCGAGAATCTATGGTAGGTAACGGTGCTAGGACACTTATGTATGATGGGGATGTACGCAGACCTCCGGCGAGAATCTATGGTAGGTAACGGTGCTAGGACACTTATGTATGATGGGGATGTACGCAGACCTCCGGCGAGAATCTATGGTAGGTAACGGTGCTAGAACACTTGTGTATGATGGGGATGTACGCAGACCTCCGGCGAGAATCTATGGTAGGTAACGGTGCTAGGACACTTATGTATGATGGGGATGTACGCAGACCTCCGGCGAGAATCTATGGTAGGTAACGGTGCTAGAACACTTGTGTATGATGGGGATGTACGCAGAACTCCGGCGAGAATCTATGGTAGGTAACGGTGCTAGAACACTTATGTATGATGGGGATGTATGCAGACCTCCGGGGAGAATCTATGGTAGGTAACGGTGCTAGAACACTTGTGTATGATGGGGATGTACGCAGAACTCCGGCGAGAATCTATGGTAGGTAACGGTGCTAGAACACTTGTGTATGATGGGGATGTACGCAGAACTCTGGCGAGAATCTATGGTAGGTAACGGTGCTAGAACACTTATGTATGATGGGGATGTTCGCAGACCTCCGGGGAGAATCTATGGTAGGTAACGGTGCTAGAACACTTGTGTATGATGGGGATGTATGCAGACCTCCGGCGAGAATCTATGGTAGGTAACAGTGCTAGAACACTTGTGTATGATGGGGATGTTCGCAGACCTCCGGCGGCTAGCGAGCTAGAGCTAATTACGATCCCTGAGAACAGGTACTAAGTATCCTGTTTGTTGTAAGATGGGACTACGTGGATTGGATAGTCACTCTGTAATAATGCTGATTGCGTGCGTGTCAGTGTATCCTAACAATATGATCATTGCACATGCTACCTGGTCTAGGACCCTTGAAGATCCGGGTGAGAACAGGTCTTCAGCAACCCATAATGGTCAGGGCATTATCATTTGCAGAAGCCCTTGGTCTTTTCAACTGCCCTCCTTCATCGGGCTGTTAATGGAAGACCTCAGGCTCCTGCAAATGATAATGCCCTGAAAAATAGGGGTACCCTTATACCACCAGGAGAAAGCCATCTCCAACAGTGGGATCCAGGCATGCTAGCAGTGTTGGCAGAATTATGTGTACCAGGAGGGGTGTATGTTGAAAAGTAGACAACCATCTCAATCAACAAAGAGGGGGCACGAGTGGCCCAGTCGTCTAAGGCGCCGTGATTTGCTGTGCAGAGTTGCGTCCCTTGGGCACGCCAGAAACCTATGATTGTGGGTTCGAATCCCGGTTCGCCCCGATTATGTTTCTAGGTTTGTCAGCACCATACCCATGCTCGTGGGTTTCAACGAAGTGGTAAACGTCTGAGACCTGCATCACTTCGGGCTTTCCTCCTACATTAAGCTGACACGCTGTGATATAACTGGAATACTGTTAAAAGCGGCGTTAAACCCAACTCACTCACTCACACACTCAATCAATCAACAAAGACCATCTTAGTTATGTGCAGAATGTTTCAGCCACCCCATGTACTTTGCATAATGCTGACTACAGTGTTAAACAAAGGTGAAAATCGTGTAAAACGACTCGCTCACTCCATCTTTGTTACAGGCAACGGGCAGCATCCCGATCACAGTGCGACACATTGAGTCGATGATCCGAATGGCCGAGGCCCACGCCAGGATGCACCTGCGTGACTACGTCAACGAGGACGATGTCAACATGGCCATCCGCATCATGCTGGAGAGTTTCATCAGCACACAGAAGTTCAGCGTCATGAGGAGCATGAGAAAGGTGGGGCATTTACACTGCAACTTTACCCCACAAGGGCTTGGCACCGGTGAAGATCGGGTTAGGATGGTCTTCAGCAACCCATGCTTGTCTTCACAGACGACTAAGTTATCAGATGGTTAGCAAGCATTGGTTGATGCATGTCGTCATATCCCAGTGGCATCGGACCCGTGAAGATTCCAGGGTAGAATAGGTCTTCAGCAACCCATGCTTGCCGTAAAAGGCGACTAACGGGATTGGGTGGTCAGGCTCGCTTACTTGGTTTGATGCATGTCATCGATCCCAATTGCGTTGATCGATGTGCATGACGTCAATCACTGGATTGTCTGGTCCAGACTGGATTATTCACAGACCGCTGTCATATAGCTTGAATATTGCTGAGTGCCGTGTTAAACAACAAACCAACCAACCAACCCAGTGGCATTGATTGATGTCCATGCCAATCACTGGATTTTCTGGTCCAGACTCGATTATTTAAGACTGTTGTAATATAGCTGGAAAATTGCTGAGTACGGTGTTAAACAACAAACCAAGGCTTTGGGTATGCTTTCAGTGTAGCACAGATGGCAAAAGTGCAGAATTTGCCTTGAAAGTGTGTGCTGAATGTTAGTGGAAGAAGTTTGTTGAGTATTAATGGAAGATGTTTGTGTGTCCGAATGTTCTCTTCAAAATGACCTTTGGGCTAAGACTATAATATTATGAAAGTTAAGATTGTTTGGACAGTAGGGTATTGTTTTCTACAGAAACCAAATGAAGAAATGTTCTGAAATATTCCTTGTTCACGGGTTTCACAAGGATGACCTTCTTGAGATGTCTGATAGGAAGGAGCATAATAAACCCACATCTTTGTTGCTGGGGTTGTCAGTGTTCACAAGTTTTACACCTGCCGATATGACGTGTATCAAGGGATTTTATTGTATGAGTGTAACAATGTATATCTAACTATTGATGTTTTGCAATTGTATGCCCTTCGATATAGTACTCTATCAATTTGAAATGCCATTTGTATCAGCGATAGTATGCATAACAATTGATAGTTTCAATACTTGCTATTAGTTAGGAATATTACAAATTATGCAAATTTCAAACCTGCCTGTATTTTGGGTAGCCAAGATTAGAATTACGGATTACAGAGTAGAGTTACTTCCTATAAGAATTACCTCCCTTTGGATGGAGTATTGACAGGGAGGAAAGTTGCCTACTTTACGATTGTCAACAGTGCTCTTTTCATTTCTATCTAACATTGATTAATATAATTCTCAAGCCAGAAATTTGGTTTACTAATATTAATATACTATTGCAATAGTGTGAGCTACTATTGCATGGCAATCGCATAATGAAAATAGCCCCAATCGTCAACCCTACACCATGTCATTTTGTAAAGTTATATTTTTTAACTTATTCAAAAGCCCGACCTGATTGCTGGTTAGATTGGCATTACCTTTCCACAATCACAAAACAGAATGCTAAATCTGATTGCATAATCCGATAATACTCCAACTTTCATAGCTGGTTATTTGAGGTGTCTTGTAGCACAAGCAGGTAGATAACAACCTCATGTCAGCTGGGCTGCATGGAATATTTCTCAGTCAGTGCAAAACATAAGGTGATGTACATGTTTTGTGACACCCCATGAAATAGGTCTTCAGCAACCAATGTTTGGCGTAAAGTGGCAACTATGCTTGGCGTAAAAGGCGACTAACAGGATCGGGTGGTCAGACTCGCTGACTTTGTTAATGCATGTCTTCGATCCCAATTGCATGGATCGATGCTCATGATATCAATCACCGGATTGTCTTGTCCAGACTCGATTATATACAGACCTCCGTCATATAGCTGGAATATTGCTGAGTGCTGCTTTTAACAACAAACCAACCAACCAACTATTGTTCACCCGCAAGCATTGTTTGTTTATTATATGTAGTTCCCTCTCTGCTGCAGACGTTCGGCCGCTACCTCTCCTTTAGGAAGGATAACAACGAGCTGCTTCTTTTCATCTTGAAGCAGTTGGCCCAGGACCAGATGGCGTTCCAGCGCAACCGATACGGCATGGAACAGGACTCCATTGAGATATCTGAGAAAGATCTTGCAGATAAGGTGAGTCGTGGGGCATTTTTCAAGTGTCCCTCAATCGCTGGTCACTTCACATAAATACTGAAAAAATAAACATGCCACCGGAATTGGAGAATTGGATAGTATGCTAAATAAATATTAAGTTTGATTAATATTTATCAAGTCAAGTATATTTTCCCACATTCAGTAATAGCATTTCCGATTGACCTCATGTCATGATTTTCATGGAGAAAGAGTGCTGTTTTAATTTTCTGATAACTGTTTTAATTTTCCATGCCTTCAGTTTCAAATTGAACATCTAATACTAATTATTCTCCTCTCCGCCCCCCCCCCCCCCCAACAAAAATCTGAAAAATGTTTATTTCCTGAGTTACTGCTTAAAACTGGATTGGAACCATCTTGATAATGATTTGGGTGATTTTGGATAAATTAACAAATTAATTCTTATTTCAGGCACGACAGATCAACATTCACAACTTGACGTCCTTCTACGACAGTGACATCTTCAAGGTCAACCATTTTGCACACGACACAAAGCGCAAGGTCATCCTTCAAAGTTTTTGAAGCAGTGATTCCATACCTGACCATGCAAGCAAAACTCGAAGAAATGTGACATTTGTCGTGCGTTAGGAGGGGACAGCTTCACTTGAATAATGTGGAGTGTCTTTTCAGCAAGCAAAGATAAATCTAATGTGCGTGCTTAATAACCTGTGGGGGAACAGGGTAAGAGGAGGTCCACAGCAACCTTTGCAAGATGCAAGTCAATCAACCGGATGGTCAGACTCAGTGACCTGGTTGACTGTCTTCATACCATCTACCGTCACTGGATTGTCCAGACTGTTTCACAGGCACCTGTCATACAGCTGGAATATTGTGGAGTATGCGTTAGTCTACACACAAACATGCTTGAGAGACAAATTGTGACTACTGAAAAGATGACCCAGCTGAACATTTCTTCAAATGTTTATTCTGTATAAATGTAAGTTTTTCAAAGCTGTAGTGTACCTATTGTACATTATGTAAATGTATGTGAACTGGAGGATGAATTGTCTTGTTTGAATGTACATAAATTGAACAGCAAAACAGTCCGTTTTTGGTCTTTTGTGGGAAGGACCTCATCTCTATTTTAGCACAATGAAAGGAGCTGTGATGCTATCCACTTTATCAATTCTATTGTGGAAGGGGTGCTGTAGCCTTGTGCTCGAAGCATTCAGTGTGAAGCCAATTTCTAATGTCAAACCCCACCATACGTTAATATTGCTGGAATATTGCTGAAAGCGTCGTAAAACCTTACTCGCTCTATTTTGATAAATACCCTTTACCCATACACATCCTCGTAGACTTGAAATGAAAATTGCAGACGAGTGTGTCTTACGCATATCAGGAGACGCCCAAAGGTGTATTAAACTCTTGGCCTTGGTTGTGTTTGAGACAACACTGGTAATATTCCCTTTTGTTTCGATCTCATAATTTGGGTAACATCTGTGTCAATGGCGAAACCAGAATCAAAACATAGGTATGGTGCCCAGGGTATTAATCATAAGAGAACAAGATTTTAGTTACATCAATGATTGAAATGCTATCTAGAATAATTGCACTAAAGCCAATTACAATTTGTAATGTGAAATAGAACCTCTTGAGTTCTGAACAATTTTTGTCCAGCCACGATCAGGGATAGCTTGAACAAGTCTTCAACTCGAGATGCTCAATGACATCCTGCGTCAGTTGGTCAGTTTTCATACTTAATACCTTAAGTGGAATCAAAACACGGCTGTGCGCTCTTTGACATTACTCATAACATTCTCTTTATTTGTAATGCTCTATAAATTTCTGGAAGAACTGACAGGCTTGGCTGCTGGTCAGTCGAAGCTGTGGATCAAAGTTCCAACACTTAACAATCAGTGTGTGCCACTGCTCTGGGGGCTTGCAGTTCATAGACATTGACGGACGGAGTCCCTTCTCAATCGCTCGCTCGAACGTGGTGAACAGCTGCCCCTTGATGTGGTCTGCAGCATCCTGGCCGTACCACATCTCCCACACAATGATCCCCATACTGTACATGTCCGCCTTGACGTCATAGCGACCCTTCTGTAGCAGCACTTCCGGTGCCATGTACACAGGACTTCCCGCGATTGTTCCAGAGATGTCGTGCACACGTTTGGCAAGGCCCACGTCCGTTAATTTTACGACATCGTCCGCATCAAGCTGCAAAGAAAGCAATTTTCTATTAAAGGTGTGGTCCTCAGCTTCTAAAGATCTAATGGGATTCAAATCAACAACCTTTTTTTCTGGCTACCTAAGGGACGCAACTCCTCACAGCCAATGGTGGCACCCTATATACAATAGAAACCGTCATATCCCTAAGGATATATTTTGGGGAATTAGGGTCTTATCGAAAGTACCCAGATGAATACCTTGAAATAAGTCAAATTACTAGTTTCTAATATGCAGTTGCAGAGGTAATACTCTAAGGATCTCAAAATGTATTTGGAACTTGGGGAAACGTTCTGTGCATTTCGGCCAGCTTAAAGGTATGCGCTTTGACTTCTTTTTTACTTTGTCCCATTGTTACCCCCCAGACCTTTCTTTGCGGTATGGTGTTTAAAAGGGTGACGTGACCAGCCCCTGATGCATTATGTTCGGAAATTACGTTGCAACCCAGTTTGTACGTGCAGGTGATATGCCTGGAATATTGGCGTTTGTGGAGTTGGTCACCGAAAACCATCTCTTGTATCGTAGACCGTGATTGAACAAGTTATGGACTCAAATATATCCCCACACACACTTGGAACATCCTTTCGGTTCTCCCACGGCGCATGTCCGAAGAAAGCCTGAAGTGACAGACCTTATTACACTTTTTCTAAACTTGGTGAAATGAACGAACACTGAATCGTGCTGACAAACCAAAGGTTATGATCAGGGCAAATCTCCCTGATTCTAATCCACGATCATGGACCACTTAACGCTTGACGGATACAACTCTGCACAGCTGCGCCATCTAAAGGAGAGAGGGAACCGTACCAGTATATTGTCCGGCTTCATGTCTCGATGAACGAGGCCCTTGCTGTGGAGATACTCTAGTCCACAGCATATCTGTTCCGCAAACACAGCCACCGTCTTCATTGCTTCAATCTGGGACTCGGTGTCGGCCTCGCATTTCGAGGGGCTTCGGACTTGTTTCCCCACAAACTTGGCCATCAGCGTCTTGGGGCAGTATTCGAGTACCATGACCCACTTCATGTCCCTCCCACTAACCTGTCTGGACGCGCCATAGTACTTCACTACGTTGCGGTGTTTCAAATCCCTGAGAAAAGATGGTACATGAAAATAATGACACAGTAAAGATTTTTGCAGGTGCTTTTAAAGGGTGTTCATTGTTGATTCAATTAGTCGCCTCCTACGATAAACAATAGAATGATTGCTGGGGGTGGGGGGTCTGCTTAATGTGGGATGGAAGCCCGGATTGATGCAGGTCTCAGTTTATTTTGGTGAAATCCACGAGCACGGGTATGGTGCTGACAAACCCAGAAACACAATCGGTATTCGAACCCACGATCATAGGTTTCTGGCGCGCCTAAGGGAAGCAACAATGTACCGCGAATTGCTGCGCCTGAGACGACTGGGCCTCCCTTGGCCCACACACTGTAACCTGTGCTCGGCTGTTACCGCAAGCATAGGTTACTGTGGGCGTGTTCCGCATTCCTTCCACGAAGCACTTTGAGCAACGTGTCACATCCGTATCGCCCTAGAGCTTTTAAATGACATCACGAGCACCGATCTACGCAAGTGGGATACGATGATATGAATGAACCAAGTTAGCCAGTCTGATCACCCGATCCCGTTAGTCGCCTCTTACGACAAGCATGGTTTGCTGAAGACCAATTCTAACCCGGATCTTCACGGGGGCATTAACTTTGTAGTCATTTACATTCACCTTAGCGTATTGTCTTCGAGGAGGACGTCGGTGACGTTTGTGACGTCCAGAGGTTCTTTGCAGACCTTGAGGGCAACTGCAATGTCGCCGTCGGCTGTGGCGAGGCGAGAGTAGTACACGTTGGCAAAACTTCCTCGACCAATGGGGTTCTCCGTTGCATTCTTGTTCAGTTCTTGGAAGCTGAAATCGAACTTCATGAGTTTCCTTGAGAAGAACATGTCCAGATATCCTTGTAGGTCCTCGGAGTCTGTGATGAACTTGGGATACATGTTCATCAGATTCGCTTGACCATGGTCAACTTCTTTGGTCAGTGACTTCATCAGCTGACGGTCTGCCCGTAGAAACTCTGGAAGCATCTTCCCAATCTAGGAAACGAACAACCATTGTTTAATAATAAATGGACAAAATACGAAAGTAGTTTATGGTATTCTCGTTATACACAAAAGAGGCTGACATTAAATAGCAATTGATAAATCTTTACGATCTAGGAAATTTACAGTGTTTTTTTAGGACGATTGTGAGAGTGAATCTGTTTTACGCCGCTTCGACCAGTTACACCACGGCGTGTCAGCTTGATTTGTGAGGAATGCCTAAAGAAAGGTCCTCAACCTTTACCACTTTGGTTGCTCATAGTATCAATCACTAGTTGGGCAGGGCCAGATAATTACATACAGTCCGCTGTAATATAGTTAAAAGATTGCAGAATGCTTCGTGAAACCACGCTCAGTGTCCTCAAGTTGCAAATGAATCCATGGCATTTGATTGACTAACCAAGTTTACAATAATATTAAAAATTAGAATATGCACACAAGAAGACTACTGTTTCCTGATTGGCTGAAACTTGGGTGGGCGGGGCTTGGGTTACATTATTGCGCCGAACGATGTGACTGAATTTCTGTTGTTGTCAACAGTTTTGTGTGTTAATGATGAAATATTCTGTCTGTGAAGGTATTGTTGACTTATGTAATTATAACAATTGACTTCAATTCTACGTTTTTCTGTTTAAGGAGGTATAAACGTTACAAAACCCCGATGTACACGCATATGCATATCGAATATAGGTTTTTGAAACCTCGGATAGCCATACTGATGTTCCTGCAGCGTTTAACGACATTCCCATTTCTGGCGTCCCCCGCCGTGATATTGATGGAATAGTGTTAAAAGCGGCGTAAAACTATACTCACTCGCTCACTTTAATGATATTCACATCTCACCGACACCTTTCACATTCCTCATTGTTGATCCAACTTACTCTGTCAATATTCTTGGCAAACCGGTCAAAGAACTTTTCCACCGCTGCCAAGACGTTCCTCTCCGACAGTCCATCCAGGAACATCTTCGAGGCATCCTGCATCACCTGTGAAGCGTTGCTAGAGTTATAGGTCTTGAACAACGCTCGGACTTTACTAGCTCTGGTATCTAGAGAGAAAGCAGCCCCCACTGCACTGCCTATACTCATGAAACCCTCTGTTTTCTCCCCGGACTTCTTATCTGCCTTCTTCCATACTTTCGTGACTGGGGCACGAGTTCGGAGGGAGTTGTGGAGATCCACCATTGATCTCACGTCCTCACCAAGGAACACACCTGAAAATATTACATGTATATTAGCATTCATCACCACTCGCCCCTTTCCGTCCCCATATCGATGAATGTTATGTGCAAAAATACAACAAACCAATCAGAATGCGTGTATGTTTTCAAATTCTTCAAATAATTTTTGATTTTACCTATGTCTCAAAATATACCCAAGACTCATCACCACTCGCCCCTTTCCGTCCCAATATCGATGAATGTTATGTGCGAAAATACAACAAACCAATCAGAATGCGTGTATGTTTTCAAATTCTTCAAATAATTTTTGATTTTACGTATGTCTCAAAATATACCCAAGACACAGTTAAATGTGCTCAATCATACTGTATAATTCCGCATGTCCGGATGTGCTTTAAATTGCATCTGAAATATATATATTATATGGGGAAATATGTGTGAACCATTACGCAACGAGTTGACAAATGTTTTAGCTATGCCCGTTTGCGCTAAGACGGAACCCGGTCGCAAAAATGGCCACGAGAGGGGCACGAGTCGCTATTCGGCTTGTCCCGGAATAACACGGGTTACTCACGAATGGTATATTAGCTATGGGTGGACACCTGAACAAATTCAACGTATTTCAAGCTCTGATAGAAATAATGAAATTGTACGCCTTTTTACTGTCGAACACCCTTCTCGACAGTATACATATACACAGTTTGTATATGGTTTGTTGTAACGGCGGCCTGGAAATATTCGAGTCTGGACCAAACAATTCAGTGATTGGCATTATGAGCAATTATCCTCGGTGACGGGGTACGATGTCACACAATCAACCAAGTCACAGAGACTGGCCACCCGATCCACTATGTCGCCTCGTATGACAAACTTATGTAAGACCAATTAATTCTCACTTATATACCAAGATAACATAAACAATGTTTGCTAATTTCGGTTTTATAGTGCCAGTCCACTGTGATACCATGCCGCAGTTTAACATGGATGCCCCACTCAGACGTAGTATAATGACTCCGAGCTGACCGGTCCTTGTTTTATCCTCTTTATGCCGAGTGGCAGGCCGGGTAACAACAAGTACCATCTTGTAGCGTCTTTTGGTATAACGCGACCGGGGATCAAAACCCGACCTTCCGTTCTCCGAGACGCTCTATCCACTAGACCGCGGACAACGATGCTTTGAATAATATTTATTTTAAATATTGGTGGGGGGCAGGTCATTTACGGTCCCCGCCGTGATATTGCTGGAATATTTCTGCGGCGTAAAACCATACGCACTCACTCTTATTCCGAAGAAAAACATATTTCCGGTACCATTTAAAGAGTCATAGAACGAATTTCCTTTTGTCAAAAAGTCACACCCTAAAAATGCTCGTAATTAATACAGTCAATCTTGCATGAAACAGCAGACTGGTACATGTGATGAGAGGTGATTCTGAAGTGAATACCACCACAGTACACCACAAATGGACTGTTGATTGTCTGGAATTGCTGGTGCATTCCAAAACCTACCCTCTATCTGTTTGGCCTGGTCCTCAAACAGTTCAACGTCCTGCTTAAACTTCTTAATGGTACTGGTCCTGACATTTCCCACGACGTTCTTGCTCCGGTCCCACGTGTCCACGATGTCCTGGACTCTGCTGGAAATCCGGGCTGAGGCCTCTGCAACCACCTTCTTCCAGTTTTCAGGTCGCGGGCAGAGGTCGGAGTTCCACACCACCAGGTCACGTCTGTTGTTCGTGTTCAACGACTGGAATAACAAGGCGAATCCTGCCGTCACTGTAACATTAACCCTGTTCTCTATTTATGAAGAGGGTAACATATTCCATGCTCATTAAGATGGTATATTTAACCCCTTTTTACCAAGATAATAAGGATGACATCATTAACCCTGGGTTTTTTTAGATTAAATTATATAGATGGTAACATTTACCTCGTTTATTGTAAGGATGGTAACATAAAACCCATCCAAAAGGATGGTAACATTAACCCCATCTATAAGGATCGTAACATTAACTCTGCTTATAAGGGTGGTAACACTAACTCCGTCTATAAGGATTGTAACATTAACCCCGCCTATAAGGATGGTAACATTAATCTGGTTTATAAGGATGGTAACATTAAACCTGTTTATAAGGATGGCAACATTAACCCCGTCTATAAGGATGGTAACATTAATCTCGTCTATAAGGGTGGTAACATTAATCTCGTATATAAGGATGGTAACGGTTACCCCGTCTAAAAGTATGGTAACATAAACCCTGTTTATAAGGATGGTAACATTAACCTCGTCTATATAAACCCATCTATAAGGATGGTAACATTAACCTCGTCTGTAAGGATGGTGACATTAACCCCATCTATAAGGATGGTAACATTAACCCCATCTATAAGGATGGTAACATTAACCCCGTCTATAATGATGGTAACATTTACCCCGTCTATAAGGATGGTAACATTAACCCCGTCTATAAGGATGGGAACATTTACCCCATCTATAAGGATGGTAACATTAACCCCGTCTATAAGGATGGTAACATTAACCCCGTCTATAAGGATGGTAACATTAACCCCGTCTATAAGGATGGTAACATTAACCCCGTCTATAAGGATGATAACATAACCCCATCTATGAGGATGGTAACATTAACCCTGTCTTTAAGGATGGTAACATAACCCCATCTATGAGGATGGTAACATTAACCCCGTCTATAAGGATTGCAACATTAACCCCGTCTATAAGGATGGTAACATTACATGTTAGCCATAGTTACACAAACAGCCAGAGGAATGTTCCTTCACCTTGATGATGCTGTCTGTGATGTCTTCCGCGGCGTTCCTTACATCCCTCCTCATGTCCTTGATCCTGCTCTCTGCCCGGGTCTCCAGCTGCTCTATCTGAGAGCACACCGACCTGTACAAGCTTTCCTGTTCCTCCACAGTGCGGGCGTCCAGCTGCTTCGACACCTTCAGGGAGTACAGCGTCCGCTTCAGAATGGTAGACAACCATCTGGAGAAACACAAAGGACAGTGTTAACCCTGATAAAGAGGGACATCTAGGGGGACAGGGGACAGTGTTGACCCTGATACAGAGGGTACATCTGGGCATGCAGGAATGTGTTGACCCACCCTGATACAGAGGTACATCTGGGGGTACAGGGGACAGTGTTGACTCACCCTGATACAGAGGTACATCTGGGGGTACACGGGACAGTGTTGACCCACCCTGATACAGAGGCACACTTAGGGATACAGGGGATAGTGTTGACCCATCCTGATACAGAGGTACATCTGGGGGTACACGGGATAGTGTTCACCCACCCTGATACAGAGGGACATCTGGGGGTACAGGGGACAGTGTTGGCTCACCCTGATACAGAGGGACATCTTGGGGTACAGGGGACAGTGTTGACTCACCCTGATACAGAGGTACATCTGGGGGTACAGGGGATAGTGTTGACCCACCCTGATACAGAGGTACATCTGGGGGTACAGGGGATAGTGTTGACTCACCCTGATACAGAGGTACATCTGGGGGTACAGGGGATAGTGTTGACTCACCCTGATACAGAGGTACATCTGGGGGTACAGGGGACAGTGTTGACCCACCCTGATACAGAGGCACACCTTGGGGTACAGGGGATAGTGTTGACCCACCCTGATACAGAGGTACATCTGGGGGTACAGGGGGCAGTGTTGACTCACCCTGATACAGAGGGACATCTGGGGGTACAGGGGACAGTGTTGACTCACCCTGATACAGAGGTACATCTGGGGGTACAGGGGACAGTGTTGGCCCACCCTGATACAGAGGTACATCTGGGGGTACAGGGGATAGTGTTGACCCATCCTGATACAGAGGCACACCTTGGGGTACAGGGGATAGTGTTGACCCACCCTGATACAGAGGTACATCTGGGGGTACAGGGGATAGCGTTGGCTCACCCTGATACAGAGGCACACCTTGGGGTACAGGGGACAGTGTTGACCAACCCTGATACAGAGGTACATCTGGGGGTACAGGGGATAGCGTTGGCTCACCCTGATACAGAGGCACACCTGGGGGTAGGGGACAGCGTTGACCCTGATACAGAGATACACCCAGGCATGAGCTAATGGAGTCACCTGTAGTGTGTCATGAGCTTGGAGCGGAATGTTGTTGGTAGGACCTGCCGTATCCCTTCCACGAGGGCCACGTGGTCTTCCAGCATGTTCCGATAGTCCAACCCATCTAAAGCCTGGAATAAGACATAGGTTATTGTACATAACCTGCTGGTCCAACCTATGTTAAATTGATGTACAATTAGGATACAATTTCTTGCATCAGTACATTGATTACTGCACCGGTACACTAATCCTTAAACTCACACTACACCTTGCATCCCCACACTAATCCCTACATCCCACACTAATCAATGTACCAACACACTAATCCCTGCACCCCAAAACTAATTCCTGTACCCCACACTAATCTACGTACCCACACACTAATCCCTGCACCCCACTCTAACCCATGTACCCGCACTAATCAATGTACCCACACATTAATCCCCACACCCCAATACTAATCATTGTACCCACACATTAATCCCTGCACCCCAACACTAATCAATGTACCCACACATTAATCCCTGCACCCCAACACTTATCAATGTACCCACACATTAATCCCTGCATCCCCGACTGAATCATTGACTCCACACGTTAATCCATGCACCCCGAACATTCATCCTACACCCCACACACTAATCGATGCACCCCACAATTTACCCCTGCACCCTGAATATTAACCCCTGCACCCCACACACTAATCCATCCATCCCACACATTTATCCCTCCACCCCACACATTTACCCCTGCATTCCACACATTTAGCCCTGCACCCCACACATTTACCCTACACCCCACACACTAATCACTGCACCCCACACATTAACCCCAGAACCCCACACTTTTATCCCTGCACCACACTCATTTAACCCTGCACCCCACACATTTACACTACACCCCACACACTAATCCATGCACCCCACACATTTACCCCTCCACCCAACACATTTAACCCTGCACCCCACATATATAGCCTACACCCGACACACTAATCCATGCACCCCACACATTTACCCCTCCACCCCACACATTTACCCCTGCACCCCACAAACTAATCCATCCACCCCACATATTTACCACTCCACCCCACACATTTACCCCTGCATCCTACACATTTACCCCTGCACCCCACACATTTACCCCTCAACCGACACATTAACCCCTGCACCCCACACACTTACCTCTGCATACCACACATTTACCTCTGCATCCCACACATTTACCTCTGCACCCCACATATTAACCCCTGCATCCTTCACATTTACCCCTGCGTACAACACATTTACCCCTGCACCCTACACATTTACCCCAGCACCACACATATTTACCCCTGCATCCCACCATTTTACCTCTGCATCCCACACATTTACCTCTGCATTCCACATATTTACCTCTGAACCCAACATATTTACCCCTGCACCAAACACATTTACCCCTGCACCCCACACATAAACCGATGCATCCCACACATCTACCCCTACACCCCACACATTTACCTCTGCACCCCACATATTAACCCCTGCATCCTTCACATTTACCCCTGCGTACAACACATTTACCCCTGCACCCTACACATTTACCCCAGCACCACACATATTTACCCCTGCATCCTACACATTTACCCCTGCATACCACACATTTACCCCTGCACCCCACACATTTACCCCTGCACCACACACATAAACCGATGCACCCCACACATTTACCCCTACATCCCACACATTTACCCCTGCAACCTACACATTTACCCCTGCATCCTACACATTTACCCCTGCATCCTACACATTTACCCCTGCATACCACACATTTACCCCTGCACCCCACACATTTACCCCTACACCCCAGACATTTAACCCCGCATCCCAGACATCTACCCCTGCATACCACACATTTACCCCATACACCCCACACATTTACCCCTGCATACCACACATTTACCCCTGCACCCCACACATTTACCCCTACACCCCAGACATTTACCCCTGCATCCCAGACATTTACCCCTACATCCCACACATTTACCCCTACACCACACACATTTACCCCTGCATACCATACATTTACCCCTGCACCCCACACATTTACCCTTACACCCCAGACATTTACCCCTGCATCCCAGACATCCACCCCTGCACCCCACACATTTACCCCTGCACCCTACACATTTACCCCTGCACCCCACACATTTACCCCTGCACCCTATACATTTACCCCTGCACCCCTACATTTACCCATACATCCAACACATTTACCCCTGCACCCCACACATTTACCCCTACACCCCACACATTTACCCCTACACCCCACACATTTACCCCTACACCCTACACATTTACCCCTACACCCCACACATTTACCCCTGCACCCCACACATTTACCCCTACACCCCACACGTTTATCCCTGCACCCCACACATTTACCCCTGCACCCCACAAATTTACCCCTACACCCCACACATTTACCTCTACATCCCACACATTTACCCCTGCACCCCACACATTTACCCCTGCACCCCACACATTTCCTGCACCCCACACATTTACCCCTACACCCCACACATTTACCCCTACACGCCACACATTTACCCCTACACCCCACACATTTACCCCTGCATACCACACATTTACCCCTGCATCCCACACATTTACCCCTGCATCCCACACATTTACCCCTACCACCCACACATTTACCCCTGCATCCCACACATTCACCCCTGCACCCCACACATTAACCCCTGCACCCCACACATTTACCCCTGCACCCCACACATTCACCCCTACATCCCACACATTTACCCCTACACCCCACACATTTACCCCTGCATCCCACACATTTACCCCTACATCCCACACATTTACCCCTACATCCCACACATTTACCCCTACACCCCACGCATTTACCCCTGCATCCCACACATTCACCCCTGCACCCCACACATTTACCCCTACACCCCACACATTTACCCCTGCATCCCACACATTCACCCCTGCACCCCACACATTTACCCCAGCACCACACACAAATCCATGCACCTACAATGGCAAATGGTCTGGTGTTGGTGCCAGTGCTGCCTACCTGTGTGGCGGAGATCCTGTAGATCTGACCGTCAGTGATGTTGGGGATGGACTTGCCCAGTTTCTCCTTTACGAATTGCCGGACCTGCTCGTCATCCCGTGGACCCACTTGGTCCCACTTGTTACACACAAACACGGCGGTCGAGGGGTCGAAGTCGCTGTGCTGCACACCCTGGAGTAGGAGACGTCCCAGCTGCAGGGGAGAGAACAGATCACAGGCAGGAGAACAACACGTGGTACGTTGGTATCAGAAATGTTCACCCAGGAAGAGGCTTGCAGATTGGGCCAAAGCGATCCATACTCCCATACTTTAACATAGTGTCGTAACTGGTTTCGGGCGTCCAGTGCGACCCTAATACAGTTACTAAATGTATTGCCGTTCCTGGTCCTTGTGGTCACTTAAGCCAGGACATTGCCCTCGCCTTGTCCACCACGGCTCGGCTCCGTCAAGGAGTGATTGGTCTAATGACCCTTACTCCAAGTTGTCTCTATCAGCATTCACACACGCATAATAAAGAAACGCAACACCAGTTTATACTCACATAGTTTTACTTACTCTCAGCCCATCTATCAATACAGGACAGGATCAGACTGGCCAGGCTCGTCACTAGCTGGTGGAAACTTAGAACGATCGGGATTCGCCTCGATCGACTGTAAACCGCGCACCACTCTCCTAATGTTGAGGGTATCATTTTATAGTGTTCGAGCCTGACCTGTCCTTGTCACATGTCTCAATACCTCCATTTGATTCGTTACAAGTTTATATCTGACCATGAACTCATGTGTGTCACCATCGGAAAAATACCAAAAACCTACGTGCCAGGTTGCTCATCTCTCTATTGATTTCGTGACTCGCTCCGAAGCTCCAAATGGATTTTACCTTGTAATTCCCCATTTGTTTCATTAACTCATGGATAATAGCCAGAGACCAATCCAATGATAAATGTGAAATGTCCAGAATACACTTGTGATAAATGTGAAATGTCTTTTCTCTATTGATTCCTTTCCAACTACCAGTTCTGTCACGAACTATATCTAATGGGTTCTATTTATTATCATTCGTTTCTGAGATGCATTTTTAACCTTATAACAATAGACTTACGACAGTCGTAGCGATACGAGCGCTTTGTGGAATGGGGCCCTAGCCATTTATTATTTGTGAGATTGGTCTTAGGACTGTATCGTATTTTGCTGACCCCGCACTCATCAATATTACAGCGGACTTTAAAAACTGAGAATGGACGAGTCGAGCCAGTGATTGATATAATGAGCAACAATCCACATCGTCGAGGTACGTTGACACGCAATCAACCAAGTCCCCGAGCTTGACCACCGTTCCATTAAGTCACCTCCCACGACAAGCATAGGTTGCTTGGGACCTTTCTAACCCGGAATCCCCAAGGCCGTGATTTTGTAGTCGCCATGAATTCCTTTGCTTGTTTTATGAAATGAATTGGTTATGTTTTTAACATTCAAACTTTATCAAAGTCGAAAAAATAGAGCTTACATTTTGAATTTGAACCGACAGAACTAGCTGGAAAGATGCAAGCCATTTTGGTAAAATATTTTATACTGTGGTGCCTAAACGAAACTATAGCCACCTACCCTGTCCCTGTGTATGCCGCCGGCATCGCCCGTGTTGATGACGTAGAGGAAGCCGAAAGCCTTCTCCATGTACTGCTCCATGTCAAGACTGTGAGAGCCGCCAATGCCTGGCGTGTCCACGAACACAACCCCTTCCTGTACAGATACCAGACCACAGTTGGGTTTAACGCCGCTTTGAACACTATTCAGTTAGCTTGATGTGGGAGAGGTGGGGGGCAAAAGGGGGGCAAAAGTCACAAACTATGAGTCCTATTCAGGGCGAATCTTGAATTGCACTGCACGCCTGAAGGTAAGTGAGTTACAATTTTAAGTCACGTCGGCAATATTTCAGCCACATTGTGACGAGCACGCATCTGCAGAGCGAATTGCAGCACCCTTGAAGAACTGAGGTATCGCTCACCCTACAAGGGTTCAGTGACGTTTGGAGAGAAGGTTTAAAGCAATGCAAGAAACTTGCGAATTACTTTTCGGATGTGCCAGAATATAAAATAATGAAAACAATGTCCACACTTGTCTCCCATACAATTTCACATCGTTATCTTTTTTATAACATTATTACAAGAAACGGGTGTTAGAAAGCAAGTAGCTATTGCAATTAGCAGTTACCAGCCATATGCATATTCTCAAGCATATTTAGACCAAAATTTCACACCCGTATCATTATTAGTGAAAGGTAGTTCCACCTAACCATGAACATCTCCACAAAGAATGAACAAAGGCGAAACACCACAGCCTACCTCCATCAAGGGGAAAGGCCAGTAGATCTCCACTCTGGCATAAGGGCTCTCGTCTGTGCTTGGGTCTGTCTCAGTTACGTACTTGGCCAAGGACTCTGTGAAACCTTGCACCTGCGATTCATCCTGGCACTCCAACCTCTTGCTCCTGGTTCCGTCTCGGTAGTGCAGGACTATAGCCCGCACCTTGGATTTCCGCAGCTCGCACACCGTGGCGGTACACTGAAGGGCGCTTGTGGGCAGGATCCGCAAACCCACAAGCAGGTTGACGAGGGTGCTCTTGCCCGCGCCTGTATCACCTGTATTAGACAAGTGAGTGTTTAATTTGATAATGCTTTGAACAGTATATCACGGCATGTCAGCTTACCCGAAGTGATACATCAAGAAGACAATTTATTTGTGTGTGAAACCTGACGTCATTTATGTTGTTTTTTTTAAACAACATACTACTTCCGGGTATGAGAATATCATATAACTGATCAATTCATTATCCGATCATGAAGCCAATACGGCATGGCTTGTTTGTTTGGTGCCTCCGTTTGTTGTTTAACGCCACACTCAGTAATATTCCAGGTGTATGACGGCGGTTTGTAAATAATCGAGTCAGACAAGACAATCCAGTGATTGACATCATGAACATCGATCCACGCAATTGGGATACGATGCCATGCATCAACCAAGTCAGTGAACCTGACCACCCTCTTACGACAAGCATAGTCGCCTCTTACGACAAGCATGGGTTTCTAGAAACCAATTCTACCCCGAATGTTCACGGATGGTAGCGCATGATAGTTGACCCTGAGGGTACCCACCAGCAATGACGATGGCGCAGTCACTTTTGTCCAGCTGTTGGCATTTGTTCTTGAGGGTGACCAGGAAGTCGGGGAAGATTCTCTCCAGATCATTGCTGAACCTCTTGGGTAGGTCCTTGAAGAGGATGGCTGCTTTCTCGAATAGTTTGGTAAGCTCCGCCCGGTTTACCTTGTCTTCTTGTATGGCGTCAGCGATAGCATTCTGATCCTATGGATAGAGACAGACAAGAGTGAGTGAGGTTGGTTTAACAATGCTGTGAGAGCCGTCGATGCCGGCCCTGTCCACGACAACATCCCTTGTCAGTTACCAGACCAGAGTTAGGTTTGACACCACTTTAAACAGTACATGTATTTCAGTTGTATCACGGCGTAAATAATAACGTTTCGGATATGCCGAAAAACATATAAACGAAAACTTGTTTTTTTCATTAAAAATTGTCTCCTTTTAAATTTCACATTTTATTTTTTGGGCGTAGCATTCTGATTTTGTAACAGACACAGACATGAGTGAGTGAGTTAGGTTTAACGCCGCTTTGAACGGAATTAATGGAATTCATGTCAACTTAATTAGAAAGGTCGAGATGACGAAGGGCGTAGACGTTTACAACTTTGGTGAAACCCACGAACACGAACCCTAGACCCGAGATTTCGAACCAACGACCCATTCGTGACCAACTCGTGTTATTCCGGGACAAGCCGAATAGCGACTCGTGCCCCTCTCGTGAAGACGTTAACTGTCCTGTTTGTGTGTACTAGACGTAATATCCGAAGACTAATAAAGTCAATTTAAGACAGTACAGACTATGGAGTCGAAAGGTAATATGTCCAGAACGTATCTGCTGTGTATAAGAGGATGTCTATGACCTGAAATGTTATAACGTTAGATCGCGAGGGCGAAACATTAATGTAGATACACGAGAGTTGGGACACTGGCTGTGTAACACCAAGACATGCGGTTTGAAATCAGTCACTGACATTAGAGATGATGTTAATTAAACACACAATTTTGCTTTCATATGAAGCATTATGAGAACTGGGGAGCCAATATGCAAGTACTACACACATTCACACACGGAAGAAATTTATAGTTGATATTGTATATTTTTCAATCAATATGAACACATGTATATCAAAATAGCAAATAAATACTTTGTTGCACGATAATGTTTTTTTTGCTTTCACTTTGACATTATATATCATAACAGAGTAAGAGAAGGTTTGGGACTCCTCTTGAAAGTACTAAAATAATAACTTGTTTACTGAACAGAGAGTTTTTATGATAAAAACATTGACCATTAATTTCTTCTCTCATTTTCCAATGTAGTTCACTTCAAATATCTTCTCTTTTTCTAAACTGTTAAGAAAAAATGTTAACATGATCACAAGGTAATGAGCCTGTTGAATGTTACCCTGTGAGATCTGTCAAACCCATCACGGGTTTGACGCTATCTACAGGTTCAGCCTTTGCCAATTTCCTTCACTATTTATTGGAAACGTTCAGGAAAATATTTCCTTTCTCCCTTAATCCCATCTTTCATGCATGTAAAACATATACTTAGTGAGAGCTTTATATAATCCATACAATAAACTAATGTTCATTCGTTATAATATTGATGGGTGTAGGGAACAGTCCCTTTGAATTTTATGATTTAACACACACACATTTATGTACAGTTTGACAGATTATAATAATATGAATATAAAAAAGCATCACCACTTTCCAAGTTCACTACAATGTCACCAGTGGGAAGTTGTCGCGGAGAAACACGGATTCTAACCAAGTCTGATCTTTGTTTACCATGGAATGCATGAACTGGTTGAGTGACTTCTTTCCATCAGAATTACACACAGAGAAAGAAAGGGCTAAAAATCCTGAAGATATCCTGTATAGATGGTATTAAGTATTCACTACCAATGTCCCCCAATAATAAAATGTTCCATTTGACATCACTAAGCACCAATACTCAGCAGGATCATTTAGGCAATTGTAAAAATCACCTCTATTGTGAAACCCCCAGTGATTGTTAAGATAACAAATCCTATCTGTAGTCAGACAGTCTATATTCATTTCCAATATCCTCCAGTAAATAGTGGGTAATGCCAGAATAACACCCTCTGAAAAGATACCTCTAGTCCCCCACAAAACCTCCTCTTATTAACTTTTACCATAAACAAACAAAAAGTGGGGTGTTGGGAAATGTCCAGTATTGAATATCAAGAGAACTATTTTTTCATAACTAAATACCCTTATGGACCTTCTATTATAAGAAAAACATCTTCTTGTAGACCTTTTAATTTCAACGGTTATATGCAACTTACGTTTAAATGTATCTAATTTTACAGTTAAAAAAGGTGTTGAAATATGTTAATGTGTCAAATGTATTCAATATATGTCCACACGCAACGCTTGTTGCATTAACATTCATTTATTATCATCATCAAGTTTAGGTTTTACGTCAACTTCACAGTCCTGTATTTCGTCGACGGGGTAGGTGGGGTTGAATAATAAATAATATGCTTATTTAATAGATATAAACCACCATACTTAACTGTATGTGTGTGTGTGTGTGTGTGTGTGTGTGTGTGTGTGTGTGTGTGTGTGTGTGTGTGTGTGTTAATACATTACATTACATTATTGAGTATAGTAAAGATTTATAGGTATATATGTTGACTATAAATCATAAATGATGCATATATGTAAATAAATGATGTATATATGTAAATAAATGATGTATATATGTAAATACGGATATATCAAATATAATACTAGAACATATGGATTTTGTTACAGAAGGAGAAAGTTTTAAATATAGATAAAATTAAGCCCTAATATATTAGTAATGTATAGCTTTGTTAGATGTAAAGCATAGCAGGATATAGTAATATAAACAGTTAGGCTGTTTTTCAGTATGAGGGGCTTGCTAATTAAAGGAAAACTGAAGTGAATAGGATGCGTGTGTATTGACCTGTTGTCTTAATCACTGACCCATCAAGAGTGTCAGTCGTCATGTATCAAATCTTTATAACCGGTAAGATTGTGATAACTGTCACACCTGACTTATTTGTCTGAATGACACGTCTGAAAACAAGGGTTGAACCGTTACACAGTAACTCGGGGTAACGATTTTCTGTGCTATTGAATCAAAGTACCGTTGTGCTTCATGTGTATGGAGTACATATATCTCATGATGATGTGTCATTCCTTAATCAGTACGATGTATGGCATAAGTATATACACTTAAAAGTAGACACATGTTAACAATAATAATGACAGAGAGATAAATAAACGCAGGTCGGGTAAGTATTATTACTTTGGTTAATTATAATTTGCCACTTTTTAAACAGTTTTTCATAAGATGAAAGAAATGATGTTATAGAAAAAAGACTAGCAATTAACACTATAACCGTGATGCAATCGCGTTACTTAATACAATCCACAAAGAACAATATATAGGGCGCTTTTTTATTATTTATTCGTTATATGATATCAATAATTGATTTATGGATACTAAAGAATGAATTTATATCACACATTTGATTTTGTTTTATCATGAAATGTTTATTAATATGGCAAATCGGTTTTTAGATATCAATAACAGAATTTATTATCAAATGATGTACTTTATCATCTAAAAAATCAAATATAGTATTGTATCTATAGCCTTCGTCTCCGTGAACTTTATGCCCAATTTTTAATAATTCGTAAAGATAGGTACAGTATCGTAACATTTGCATATATAGTCATATTCAGATGATGTCTCTACATATATGTAAGGGCAAGCTTCTTCCTTTTGTTTAGTCAGCAGCTTTCCTCCTGGCTATGGGTGTGGAACACAGGCTTTAGGGTAACATATGGATCTTGTTATCATTGTATTTTAATGCGATTTGAATATTATTATTTACTATCGTACTTACTTCCTAAATGAGACGTTTTATATTTATATGTCACCACACATTACAATTATTGCTTGTAAGCTCAACACAATTGACAATTACTCTAAAAGATATGACTAGTAAACCATTAATGTATGTTGAAAAATATATATTGTAAAGGCCAGAATGATGTATCTAGGACCAAGTAGAAGATATATGGACAGCAGCGCTGGGAATTTATTCAACAAACCCGTGAAAACAACACTGCTTTAGCACACGAGTGACGAACGGGGTGCGCACGTGTTCAACGCGTTGCACACGGGTATCACACGCGTGGCGGACGGGTTCCACACGAGTGACCAACACGGGTTGCACACGTGTTGCGTAACGCGTTGCCCATGCGTGTAAGGGGAATGAACTTCTAGGCAGTAGTGTATGTGCATAATACCCATAGATAGATCAATATACGTCTACTTGTCACAAGGTAAACATGAATCAAAACACAAGATTGTTGCTATGGCTCCACGCATTGAACTCAAGAACGTGACTCTAGGGGCACACGCCACGTGCATTGAATTCCCATACACTTCCCGGAAAACCCCAACGGCTTAAGACCGTTTCTTTGAAATACACATACGCACTAGAATAACATTGTGACACCAAACACAACCTTCACTTATGACCTATCGAAACGTACAGCATATGGACGAAAGCTTTTTGTACTGCGCGAAGAAACGGCTGTCTGTTACAAGTAAATACAAGACGTCTTGATACGAAATTAGTGATGTTATTATGCAACCAAAGTCACGCCCACCCAATTATCAACCAATCAGGAAACAGAAGTCCGTTGGTGGGTGTGGCTTCTTTTTTGGTTTTATGGGAACTATATATATTTGTATATATCAGGAGTGCCTAGAAATAATCCGAGTCGAATCCCCCTTGCGTTAAGACGATCGTAACTCCCATACTTTAACCCAAACTTACGACAATCGCAGCGCCAAGACGGTCGTACTCCCATACTTTAACATAGGCTTACGACAGTCGTAGCGCCAAGACGGTCGTAACTCCCATACTTTAACATAGGCTTACGACAGTCGTAGCGCTAAGGTGATCGTAACTCCCATACTTTAACACGTAGCGCTAAGGCCAGGTTCACACAGTGCCCATTATGGCTCCCGTTTGAGATCAGACAGCGCTACGACACTAAAAGTGAAAAAGTCGGATTGCTGTCCTCAATGATCTGGAATGTCCTATCATTGTCTGAACGCAATCGTATACGTTCGTAACAGAATCCTACGGATCGGGAAAGGTACAGAGAGGTCGGCCAAGCACTTC